TGTTGCTGATTCACATCATGCTGGTACAAATAAAGGAGCAATGGCATGATGTTCATTTAAAGTCTTGCAAGTGGTGTAAAAAAGCATTTGAATGCATCCTAAAAAAGCCCCACTCTGATGCAATGTTTCTAGACACTGAAGATATTGAAAGAAAAAAAAAAAAAACAGCATTGTGTGATGAGGCAGGCATGAGACTGGCTTGCTTTCCACCCACCTCCTTTGCCTTTGCTGTATCTCTGGCAAGGTTCCCCCCAGTCTCACATCCCTTAAACCCTCCCATATAGTTATTTTCTTTTGCTTTTGTTGCCCCTGAAAGACAAGGTGTTCCAGGGGTGTATGATATATGTGTTTTAATATTAACAATCTTTTGTTTCTTGGAGGAGCTACAGTTCCTATAGTAGCTAATGCAGGTAGGAAGCATTAAACATCCTTTCAGGTGTCCTGATTAATGTCCATAAATCGTCTTCTTGGTTGCTTGCTGCAAGTGCTTTTTTGCCTTGCAGGCGCCTGATGTCTTTGAAGGAGGATCATGCTACTGGAGAATGGCAGTACAGTGAGATCTGCATGGGGACAGGACAAACATGCATGTTCCCTGGACTTATCAATAACTATTACCAATACATCATCTCCTTTGCTGAAGATGAAGCAGGTAATCTTTTGACTTTATACCGCACTAAATGGCATGCTTGTGGTTTCTCTTTGGGTTAAAACACCAGAGAGGGTGACTGAGAGGGTGATATACAAAGGCTTAAATTACAAGCCTTAAATTAAAGTTGAGTTTTGAGTGAACTTCCCAGCCTGTATTACAGTAGCATGAAATGCAACCGTGAGTTTTTTTCCCCAGCCTATATCACATCAGCATGAAATAGGATCATGAGACTTTTACTCCTACAATTCAAAGCCAGGTGCAGAATACCAAAATAATGGCTTCTCAGACATATCTGTGATCCTGGCCAAATCCAGGATGTGCCAATGTGAAGTAAAACTTACCCACCAGATGTTATTGTGCCTCTCTGTCTGTGAAATTTGTTTGTTAGATTGTATAAAAGCAGGACCCTCTCACAGTGAAGATGGAGACCTCACCTATGAGTGGCAGCACTCTGTAGGACCTCCCAATTGCCAGGGAAAGGCTCTCCAAATCCTTCACTGTGACGGGGCTCCCCACCTGATGTACAGGATGCAGATGATGCAACTGGTATTTGGGCAACTGGTGAAGTTTCTTTCATAATCACTAGGCTTTCTCTTAAGTAGTAATGACTAGGTACATTACCCTGTTTAACTCTGTACCTTGCTGCTTCTTCTTTTTTCCCCTGTTTTAAACTAGAGTAAAATAAGTTTGTTCCTAGTATTCTGTTGGTATCTGTGTCCTTTTTGCCAGCCCTGTCAATTGGCAAAACAGAGGGGTCCTGGGGGGCAGTGGGTGACAGGGAGGCAGAGCTTGAGTCTCTCAGTCTTTAACATGCTGGTGGGTGAGATTCCCAGCATTTCCCAAATATAAGACCAAAGTTACAATCCTAATTTCGAGGCCAGCGTGCCACACAGTGACTGCAGGGGGAATTGGACAGGCAGTTCCCAGCAGGACTGAGCCTGAGCGCGCTGGGTGTCTGCTGCCCGCACACACAGGCTCTGGAGGGACGGAGAACAGCGAGGGGGAAAGTACAGTGAAGCACATCTTAGAAAAGAAACCTCATTCTTCCTGGTGCCATGCCGTGGGGAATGCAGGCCCTGGGAGGCTGAGAAGCTGATACCCAAGTGAGAGCAAGTCTATGCTCTTGGCTAGTCAAGAAGTCTGTTGACATTGTTAATGGATACAGGGAAGCAGATGTGATGAACGGTAATTACAAACCTACTCACCCTGGCCTGGGATATTTGTACCTCTCAAGGTAAAGCAGAATGAAAGTTTTACATTATGTCTCAAGTGAGGCATCAGCAAAAGGCTGCTTAAGTCCATATTTTATTAGTGCCAGCTGGGATTTTGCCTTGGATGAAAGGATGTAATCTCAGTGGAGCTTTGCATAGCTGCATTTTTAAGACCAGAGACATTTTGCTTTCTAGGAGGGAGCTGCTGTGATTTGAAAAGGAGCATATGAAGAGTTCTGGGGTGAAAGCTGGCTGTCGCTGCCTCTGTTCAGACAGCAGTGTGGTTAATTGCCCAGCCCTGCAGGGCAGACAGAGCCTGCAGCCCCTGGCTGTGGACAGGGAGAGGGTGAGCCCCATGATGTATAACCCCATCTCAGCCTCATGTGTGACTTGGTGATGCAGGACTTTGTGTTCTGCCCCGTTGCAGAGAGGTCCTGGCTTCTGCTCACAAGTGCCCACTACCAGAATGCCCCAGTTTTTAAACGTCTGTTTTTCCTGCAGAGTATGTCAGGTGTGGATGTTGCACATGTACAAGATCCATTGCATATCGTGTAACTGCAGATTTTATCACATAAATGCAGATTGTCCAAATTAAGCATTAGCTCAAAGGTTTGACTTTGGCATTTTATCTTTTTTTTGGAGTTAAAATCCACTTTCTTTAATGGTTAATGTTCATGGAAGGTAGAGCTGTTTTGCAGTGCTGTGGTGAGAAGGAGATCTTACCCTAAAATCAGAATAACTTCATTTAAATCAACTTTATGCCAAGGCAGAGGGCTGCCAAGTGCAGTACCAAGCTGCTAACTGCAGCCCTTGCTCATGCACCCGGGGAGCAGCATCTCCCTCCTCCTGTGTCTATGGGCAGAGTGTGGGCAAAGGGTGGGTGAAAAACCACCACCCTCCTGCCCTCTGCTTTTCACACGTACTGTGCATGAGTAGAATAGAGCTGGTGGAAATTTGGGCTGGAATCTGTTCTCCGAGGTAGTATTTGCCTTGTATTTGCTTTATTATAATGGAAAGAAATCTGTTGATAAGAGTTTAGTGAGTTTTCCTTTATCTGCAGTGAACAGTCTTTTCTTGCACCTTTTTGGTGTGCTGGGAGTCTGCTTTTTTACAAATTTATCACACAGTTTATTTTAACAAGCTTTTCTTCATGGAAGCCTGTGTTTTTTGGGGTTGTTGCTCTGATGAGTGTTAATCTGGCTGGTGCAGCAGATATGTTTATGTGGTGAGTACATCTATATTTTTGGCTCATTGCACAGCTGTTATAAAGCCAGCAGCCCCGTCCCCAGGCAGCTGAATGAAGGTGTCAGGGACACCCCAGGCACTATGCTATGTCTGTGGGACATACATCTGATATAGCCTATGTGTTTCGTGGCCTCTGCATCCTTATTTCTGCCTCATAATTTCTGGGAAAAAGGGGTGGGATGTGAAGCACACATCACTGCACCACAAGACACAGTGCCAGGTGTTCACCCATCCCTGTTTGGATCAAGACTGCCTCTGGCCTGTGGTTAATGGAGCCCACTAGAGAAAGGACGAAACCAGCCAGGGGTGGCTGGGTCCCCTCCACTCCTTCCCCTCTTCCCTTTGGGGTACCCATAGGATGCCCAAAGAAATCTGCCTTACTTACTAAAAAGGTCTCTGTTGCCTCTTTTTCTCCCTTTTTTTTCTGTTTTGAAATATTGCAAATTTATTTTTTCATCCAGATCAGCTCTCTGATCCTTTTCATTGCACTGCTCATGCACTTGAGCTGGCAAAAAAGAGAGTGCCAGAGGGAGTGCTTATCCCAACCTCCCCTGCATGACAGAAAGAGAGGGATGGAAATGCAGTTAGGAGAAAAAACGTCAAATAAACGATGATGGACATTGTTTGGCTGAAGGTCAAGCCCTGCCCGCGTGACCTGACAGAGCTGTGACGAACCCAAATGCCTTTCTCATTAAATACATCTCACTTTATGGGTGTGCTAGAGAAAGCAAAAGCAAAATCTTGTTCTGTAATTCACCTCAAAGGAGTGCTTTATCCCAGAGAGCAGAAGACAGTGTGAACAGTCTTATTTCCTTTCATTTTATTTTGACAAAGGGAATTCGGGGTTTGACTGTTTTGCATTAGTGAAATTAAAGGACACAGATCAAACTGAGATGACAGCTGAAATCTGGGCAGCTGCACATGCGGTGGAAATTTGTCAAAATAATATTTCATGGCAATGTGTAAAAGCTCCCACTCACTAAGAGTATTTTATGCCCCTGGACTGCAGATGAACTCCCGCTAAACCCAAATACGAACCTGCCTTGTTTCCTGTAGTAGCCAGATCTCCATGTTGGTCCCAGTTTTCCTGATGCTCTCTGACCTGTGATGCAGATTTAACGCCCTTCTGCTATACAGCACAGAAGCTCCATGGAGAGTTTTCATGGCTGTGTTTGTTTTGGTTTTGCTTTGTTTTGTTTTCCCAGGGGAACTTTACTTCATGTCTACTGGCATACCAAGTGCCACAGCTCCCCATGGAGTGGTGTACAAAGTGGTGGATGCCTCCAGGTATGAGATGTTCTTGTTGCAAAGCCTAAGCGTGGTGCAGTGTGTCTAGGTGTGGATGTGATGAATGATGCTGACTAACTAACTAGCTCTTCTCCCATGCTGGGCCCTTCTGTGGCCCTTGATCAAGGAACAGCTGGAGCAACCCACTGTAGATCTGCTTTGCTCCTGCAGTCATCAGAGTCTATGATGTTGCCTGGTGACCACCAACTTGTTTGTTATGGGGCCTGTTGGTGTTATGTGGCTTGGAAGATTTGTTCCTGAAAGCTAAAGGAGTATTTTATGGGTGGCTTGTCTTTTTCAGGCAAAGTTTCTTTATTTTCCTGCCCAGAAGGAGGTGGTTTTTTTCAAGGTGTTTGTTCTCAATTCTTCTTCATCCCTTGTAGCCAGCTGCATCTGCTGTGCCCAGGCAGCTGCAGCCAAAGCTGACCCAGCGTGACCTGCAGTGCTTTCTTGAGCAAAGATGCCCAGGCAGCTGCAGCCAAAGCTGCAGCGTGACCTGCAGTGCTTTCTTGAGCAAAGCAGAAATGAATGTCAAAAAGTACATTGGTTTTTATGTTTTAAAGAGGGAAAATGGCTTGGACAAGGAACTAAAACCGTTGTTACACCTTCTGGATCCCGTGTGTATGTATCTTCAGACTGGGCAAGGCAGGGAATAGCTGTGTTTTATGGGAAGACTTACAGCTGTTTTTTTCCATTTTCCTGTTTTTTAAGCATTACTCTTCTTGGCTAAACACCAAAATGCTCTCAGTCAGACGTGTAGAGTGAGACTTTTGTAGCTTTTTTTTTTTTTTTAACAGATTAAATGTACAGCTTTAGCTATCTGAACATTTTGAACCAAACTACTTTTCTGGTTTTTGTTGGAACCAGACCCCAAAGTGAAACAGCCCCCAGAGCTGACGCATGTTTTTCTTACTCTTCTGTCAGGAGCATTTTCCACTATCTAATACAGTGAAGAGTTCCTGTAAACTGCGTATTAAGAGGCTGCTATTGTGCAACCTTTGCAAAAATAAAGAAAGCAGAAGTCAAAAGACAGTCATAAGTTTAAGTTCAAAAAGAATTTTCTTTACTGTGTAGAGTACAGAAAAAACTCTCAGGAAAATTCATAAAAGTAGGGAACGTCCTTGTGGCAGTAGTTGAGAGAGGAGCTCTTTTCCTTCCACAGAAATGCAGATGCAAACTTTTCTAATTACAAAGGAGTTATTCCCTCCAAACGCAAACATTGTGAATATTTGAACCATTTTGAAAACCTCTGAAGAAGGCTGCAGATTAGCGAGCCAGCCAGCAGAGGAAAAAGTGATAATGAACGGGATGTAACTTCTCAGAAGTGAGATCTACCTCCATGGCAAACAAATTTGTGACACAATAATACATCATATTGAGAGGAAGCCTTTGCAGGTGTGGTGGCTTCACCTGGCTGGCAACCAAACACAGCCGCTGGTGTGTCCGCCACAGGGAACAGGGGAGAGAATTGGAGGGGTAAGGGTAAGAAGATTTGTAGGTTGAGATAAAAACAATTGAATAACTGAAATAAAATAAAACTTCAAATAATAATTACATTAAAATAATAATTACAATAATTATAATAATAAAATATGCAAATGAGTGATGCACAGTGCAATTGCTCACCACTCACCAACCAAGCCCAGCCTGTTCTTGGATAATAATCATGGAGGAGCAACAATCCCGAAACAAACTGCAATTCTGGAAGATTGAGAGTCTGAGCAAGAGCCAGAGAGAGAGAGAACCCCCACAAGAGAGAAACTCTTGTTAGTATACTGAACATGATGTTATATGAGATGGAATATCCTATTAGCATATCCAAATGACACTCTAGCTTATTAATTTAAAAATTCCTTGCCCTCCTCGACCTTTGCACTTGCAGACTAGCAAAACACGACAGCCTTCGACTTCCAGCGACAATTGAAAACATTGGTATGTTATCATGTTCTTCTCATAACAGACCCCATGTTGAAACCAAAACACAGCGCTATTCTAGCTACTAAAAAGAAACCCAGCTCTGTCCCAGGTAAAAACCAGCACAGCAGGAGACACTCAGAGCTCTTGGTTGAAACTGTGCATTTTTGGTTCTACTTTCATAGTAATCAGTCTTTTGTTTGGGCTTTATGTATGAATAATAGTGTGTTATTTTGCTTCTTTGAAGACAGCCTGGAAATTGTGTATGTGTGACCTTTATGTCAGATGTTCAACATATACTGTCAAGCTTTGTGATTTTTATTTTCAGTTTGATTAATCTCTTTCTGTAATGCTTGAACCTGACAGTGTTTTGTTTCCTTAATGGATTCAGCAATAGCAAGTGAAAACATAGCCAGAGGACTCCACTGCCTTGTGAACATTTGGACTTTGATCAACGGAGATATGTGATTGTTTAATTATGTTTTCTACTGTAAGAGATTACTTGGATCATTTAAACAGACAATTTTTTTTTTCAGTGAACATTGCATTCATTGAAAAACAATGGGAAGCAAAGGCTCATGATGCCAGGGGGAAGGAATTAATTGTGCGCCGTATGTGTCCCTTTTTTCTCAGGAGAGCACCACCAGGAAAATGCCGAGTGGAGCCATTGCCAGTGAAAGTAAAAAGCAAGCTCATCCAGTTCGTGCCAAAGGAGCGTAAGTGTCACTGTTGCTGTTTATTATTAGTGCATCCCAGCTGGCAGTAAGTACAAACTCCAGGCTCACACTATCTCTGTTTGCGTGGAGACCACCCAGAACTTCAGTCTTCAGAGTATCCTCAAAATTAATTCTTACCAGCTGTTTTGGATCTGAAGAGTTGGTTCAAATAAGGCATAAGGTATTCCCCTCTCCTGGCCATGTGAAATCTTCCCTGTGGTTTCTGCCCCTGTACATTTTCCCTTTTACATGCTATATCGTACTTGCTTCATTACCACCAACTTGGTTTCCCCATAACTGTTTCTGTACTGAGATCCTGTGCTTGATGGTGCTTTTCAGTGGTAAGTTATTTTCTGCAGTGCCTTCAGGTAGTGTGGAGCACTTCAGGAGCTGAAGAATATGATGGCTAAATGGTTCAGAAATAGCTCAGTGGGCAAGATGAGGGTTGAGTCATTGTTGGTTGTAAGGGAGAGATTATGGGATGAGAAAGCACTGCCAAAAGAATTGGCATGATCAGCCATTCAGGTGAACTTTTGGCTTATCCAGACCCTCCAGGGCTCTTTGATTGCTTCATACTGAATGAAGCATTGTACTGCTGAAGCTGGAGCAGTCAAGGATAGATGAATCTGCAGCAAGCCAAGTACTATTTATGTTAAATGCAAACCCCTAAATATGCTATTAGAATCTCAGAATTAGATTAGGCCACAATCACTTTTCTTTTCCCCTGTGCATTTTGTTTACACATGTAAGTACCTAGGCAGTGCTTTAAGCACTTTGTAGTGAAGTTAATATTAGTGTAGGATCTCTAATGTCAGGACACTTTTATTTAATTTTTAATTGCATTAATCATACTACACCACATTTGGGTCATTGACAGTTCCTACAGCTTTGACTTCAGGGAGCAATGAGAGCACTCAGCAACTTTTAAGGTTGAGTCTTTAAGAAGGAACAAGATCTAAGACTAATTGTTAACTGTTGACATGCCTGAGCACTCAGCACGCCTTCCTTTGCAAGCTGTGCCCATGGTTTCCAAATATTAATTTGGTTCGTGTTGAACCATCTTTGTCTCAGTTTCTGCTTAGGCATTATTCTCTATGCAAGTCCAAAGTTCAGATTTTTAAACTACACATATAACTAAATCTTTTGGCTTTGTTGACAAGGTTGTTTTCATCATAAACTAAAACTTAGAAGCAGTGGGAGAGATTCTGCAAAGTGTCTTAAGAACTAAATTCATGTGCAGGTGAAAACCAAGCATGAAGATTTTGATTCAGAAGAATGCAAACGGGATGTGTAGCTGTAAATATTCTTCTCTTTTGGTTAGTGTTTAATGTGAATGTAACAGAATTACCAAGGCATGCGGCTTGCATTAGCTGGACAACTGCATTTGTTGGAAGTGTATTTAATAAATAGCTTGACAAAGAGTAATGTATAATAAAAACTTGATTTGGTGAGGTGAAAAGCACTCCCAGGTGACCATTAGCTTTCATGCAATCCTACATATCATTATATGAGTTCCAGGATTTTTTAGTGCTTTACCAGACCACGCTCTAGCAACTGAGATGTGCACAGGTAGGTTTTCACATTTGTTTCTTGCCTTCAGAACCTCAGCTTCCAAAGAAGGGAAATATTTTCATGCCACAAATACAGTTCTTCTCCAAAAACATTATTTGGAAAAACTGGACTGCTGCAAGGGTTTGTCTTTTGGGGACAATAGATATTTAGCACAAATAAGACAGTCATATTTTTCCTGTTCTCTGTACTACAAAGCAGATGATGAATGAGAATGGATAAATCTAGGATATAATTCAGAAAGTCTTGATGTCTTTGCAAACGTCCCAGCTCAGTAGACTTACTCTGAGTAATTCTGAATTGCTTCCTTCTGACAAGCTAAAACTTATTTTTAAGCTAAAAATAGAGTGCATGTGAATAAGCAAGTCCACTAATGCCAGGAAACTGTGACAGCAAAGAATTTTCAGCTCTTCAGAGTTCAAGGCTCTTTTTTTTTTTTTTTTCATAAGGAAGAAAAAACCCAACCCCAGATCCTGTTTTATGTGTTGTCCTGGCAACTCCGTTCCTTTTGCACATTCTGGTTGCCAGAGAGAATTGATTTTGAGTGTTCCTGATTTCAGCTCCTCTGAATAAAGCATCTGGCCCAGTGGGGAGGCCAGCACTCTCCGCCTGGTAACGATCCAATCAGTGGTAATGAAGAGGAGAGCAGAAATGGTGCCTGTCTTTAAAATGCTTTCAGCAGGGGAGAAGGGTAGATGGGGAACTCCTCTTCTGACCCTCTTCTGACTACAGAACTCCAGAGCTCACCCTTTAATGGCCAGGCTGAGGTTTTGCCATAAACAGCTTGGAGGTCCGGTAAGGTTTCCTTCCTGGGAGAGGCGGACTCGTTGGCGTTAAGCCCTGCAGTCCTCTCCGCTAACTAAAAGCAGCCGACATTTTTCACTGAGGAAACGTTGGCTCACTGGGAATGTTGTTGCTTCTTAACAGGATCAAGAAAGCAAATTCTAAGCAATGAGTTAAATAAGTAAAAAATCAGCGCTGGTTTTGTGTAGTTGTGATGAAGCGGCATCTGTAGAGTGACATTCTCATGGTTTCCTGGGGTTTTCCCCCAACAGAGCTTATTGTGAAAACAACAACGCCACGTCCCCGTTTGAAGACCACGACTGAGGCCCCACGCAGAGGCAGGACAGTCCCTGAGAGTCCTCACATGCCGGCTGTGGACTGGGGTGGCCAAGCCCCACCAGCACCAGGGAACCGAAGCAGGACACCCACCACCCCAGCACCGCGCGGCCGGGCCCCCAAGCCCAGGAAAGGCGGAGAGAGGAGGAAGCAGCGCAGGAAGAAGAAACCCCCCAGCACAGCCCCGCCGCTGCGGAATGGGGCCGTGCGGCTGATGGAGCAGCAGGGCCACGGCCAGAGCCAGGGCCGGGTGGAGGTTTACATCGACGGCGAGTGGGGCACGGTGTGCGACGATGGCTGGTGCCGCCAGCTGGGCTTCCCCTTTGTGGTGCGAGCCAGCAAGAAGGCAGAATTTGGGGAAGGGACCTCCCTTCGCATCCTCCTGGACGATGTCCAGTGCTTCGGGCAGGAGAAGACACTGCTGGAGTGTGCCCATGCTGACATTGGCACACACAACTGCTCCCATGAGGAGGACGCTGGTGTGGTGTGCAGCCGGGAGGAGGTGGCAGAGTGGTGACAGAGGAGCTGGTGGGACTCTGAGCACATCCCCTTCTTGCCTGACCCTCTAAACCAGCCTCAGTATTGAGGAGGATGTGCTCTGCCTTGAGGATGCTGCGTCTGTTTGAAGCAATCGTGCTGTTTTTCTTCATTTCATCCCCATCCATCTGCCTTGGAGGGAAGGAAAAAGTAAAATGAAGCAGTGACTTGAGTGTGCCATGGGCAGGGACTGTGTTTCTATGGAGTTTTTTTAATAAGAAAACCCCAAACAACAGCCATTACAGATTAGAAAAGAGATGCATCCTGTTACCCTTTCCCTTTTCAATATACAACATACCCCAGCCATGCTTCACAATGTTTTGTGGAAAAATAAATTCACAAATGACCATGTTTCGCTGCCACACAGAATCACAGAATGTTAGGGATTGGAAGGGACCTCGAAAGATCATCTAGTCCATGGAAATGTTCGCATTGTCTTGCTTGCTTTGCTACCTGTAGCTCTGAGTGGTAGTTTCTAAGTTTGCATAAATATGTACCTTTCTTTGCAGAACACAAAAGTAGAATTTTTGGTTAACTTTCCATGCACTAGTTTAAAGGAAAATGATTCTTCTGTAATGCTTTATATCGGTATAAGCCTATTGGTTATCAAAGATAACTGCATCTAAGCAAAATCAGATAAATTAGAAAAAGTCATAGCATACGCCTGGAAAATATTTCTGCAGTTTTCACTAGCCTAAGTGAAAAGAAAATCTGGCCTTTTTTACATGAACAGGACTGTTATCCAGTTTAACCCTGAAGATACTTTGTACATGTTTCTCCACTTTCCCAGAAGTTGTGAAGCCACATGTTTTTGCATTCAGTTTTCACGGGTGTGAATGACTAGACAAAGGGTAGTGCACTGAGGTAATAATCCTGTAATATTTACTCCTTTTTAAGGGATATTAAAAAAACCTCAAAACTCTTTTTGTCTGAAGCGTGTTTTTCACCTGAGTGGTGATTGGAGACGTGTTCTCCCCTTATGGTCTCTGTGTTTGATAGCATTTTGCCTGGTTATCTTTTTTCCCAATGTAATCAGGACAGGTTTTATCTTCATGCTCTCACAAGAACATGAAAAAGACCAGACGAAACCAATGTGAAATGACTAGTGCATCCAGAGAAGTTCATGAGCAAAACCTTGTATCTAAAGCTCTTACGGTGGATATTTATTTTAATTTCCCAATTTCAAGTTGACAGTGTCCTCTTAAGCCTAAAACATTGATGTATGTGGTAAATGAATTTGTTTTAAACATTTTTCCTGAACTTTCAATCCATTCAATACTTTTTGATATGAAAGAACACCTTCACTATACAAAAACAGACAATCTGAAAAATAGCACTGGCTCCCTACATCTTAAGTATAAAGGGGAGAACAGATGTATAAAGTGCCTTTTGCAAAATACTACTTTCATTTAATTGGAAAACCTACAAATGCCATCAGGCACCAGACTGTCATTAGCTTTTCCCATTGCAGGGAAGGTGCAAACGCATCTGTTTTAAACTGCAGAAATTCACTTCAGGCTCAGCAAAACGTTCAGGGAACAAGAGAGTCCTTTGTAAATTCTTTTGGTAAAAGACTTGGCACCTGTTGAGCTGGTGGGACTAGAGAGCTGGAAGAAAATGGAAAGTGGAGATACAATCTTTCTTCTTCCAAATTCCTCTTCCGCTTCTTTTGGCTCCTTAACCCAATTTCAGCTAGCTCTGCCTGTGAGGGCTTAAGGAGAATCTTGGTTGTAGTGTTAAACTTAAAAACTTCTGGGTAGAAAAAAGGCCTGCACAACAAAAGTTACTCTGAATTGAGAGGATTCGAGGAATATCTGCCACAAACCAATTAGACAGGAATTTCGCCATCATCTTCCAGGTACTTAAGTATTATTTTTCTGATTTAACTATTCCTTACCCTATGCCTGCTGTAGCCCATTTGAGCCTCCTGAGGCCACCTCCTTCTTGCATATTGCTGGTGGTGGCTGCCACCAGCCCCCAGCTGGCAGTCACTCAGTGGCAGGCAGTGACAGCTAAAGGCAGATGGAGACCAGCCTACCAAGAGCAGCCATCGGGAAGGGTGAGCTTTGCCGTGGGCTGGCTGACGGCAAACACAGAGCCGTGCACCCCCGGTATTTGCTGCTGGCATTATGGGGGTGCCGCCGGCTTCACGGGGGAAATGTCGGCAGAGGAAGAGATGAGACTTGCAAAGAAGATTTTTTTTCCCCTTATCCTTTTTCCCAGCCTACCCTGAGCGGGGAAGGCATTTCTGTAGGTGCCTGCCAGCTCAGTACGCGTGGGTGTGTGTGCGTGTCTCTGCCTGCCAGCTCAGTATGTTGTTACAATGCTGGGAAGTTATTTCTTACCATCGTGGTCGCTTCCAGGCTTAAAACATAACTGTTCTAAATCCTGGTATTTGTCAGTCTAGTTCCCTAGTATTTAAATAATGAGCCCGTACTATTCAAAGCACAGAAGTGCATGTGCATTTAAATACTTGATATATCATCTGCTGTTTAATAGAATTCTTGTTGATAGCTTCTTTCTTCATTTATAATGTACTTATATACCAGGATGTCACACAAATTAAGCTTTAGATTAACTGATAAACCCTCCTGCAACATTTGAACATGCTGGTATACCACCTGGATGCTGATTCAGGATAAAGGTCTTAAAATAGCCCAGAATAATGCTGGTTCCCACAGTGCAGCTGCTCTTCCACGTGTTATGTGGCAGTCCCAGACGTTGGTCTAATAGCAACATGGTTTATTGCCTTCTCTCCTGATTCACCCCTGTGACTGAGACTGGAGCATCTGCATTTTTCCTTGCATGGTTTTCCTTTCCTTATGTTAGCACAGCTGTATCCCATGGAGGACCCAGCATATCTCTAAGGGAACAGTGTAGACCCAGCCTTGCTACCTCTTTTTCTCCACCTCCAAGTCAGAGTAACTCTGTGCAGAGCTCAGGGTTTTTTTCCACTTACATTGCTTCTGGTACCCAGCAGATGGCCTGTGCACCGCTGCACTGTGTGGTGCAGACATTATCTTCAGGCCAAAATAATTTGAACTTACCATGTTCTTTCCAAGGCACCCAATAGACAAATTTTCCCATAAGTATATTGTAAAAAAACTTTAAAGCTTGCTGCCAAAGCAGTGGAGAGAGTGGAAGAGGTAGGGTGTTGCAGTGGGGATGCTCACTCAAATGCTGGCAGAACCCTTCTGGGTGCCAAGCCCTGGATGGAGCATGCCGTGAGGACATCCCCCACATCGGGGGGGGCTGGGGCTCTGCCCAGCTTCTCTGTGCCAGGTTGCAGGGTACCAGTAGCACGAGGCACACATATCACAGAATGTTAGGGATTGGAAGGGCCCTCGAAAGATCATCTAGTCCAACTCCCCTGCCAGAGCAGGAACACCTACAGTAGGTCACCAAGGAATGCATCCAGGTGGGTTTTGAATGTCTCCAGAGAAGGAGACTCCACAACCTGCCTGGGCAGCCTGTTCCAGTGATCTGTTACCCTCATAGTGAAGAAGTTTTCTCTTATGTTACATGGAACCTCTATGCTCCAGCTTGCACCCATTGCCCCTTGTCCTACCATTGGACATCACTGAGAAGAGCCTGGCTCCATCTTCCTGACATTTGTCCTTTACATATTTATAAACATTAATGAGGTCACATCACTAAGCACAGTGGCCTGTAACTAAATAACGCTGAAGCCATGACTCAAGTTCAGAAAGCTCAGCGGTGGAACTGTGGGTGACACTGGCACCTGGTGCAAAAATGAGCCTGGAGGCCCAACTTCAGCTGGTGCCATGGTGTTTCTCCTGCCGTCATCTCCCCTACCAGCATCTCCCCCACCTCTCACCAGTCGGCATCTTCATGTTGGGCCTCAGCATGTCCAAGGGAGAACAGCAGCTCATACACCACTGGCTCACAGCCCAAACTCAGCAAAACACTTCCAGGAATGCACAGAGCAGAGCCTGCCTCTTCTTTAACCTGTTAGCACCAATATGGCTGTATGGGGAGGCCCCCAGTACATATCTGTCCCTCTGTGCGCGAGCTCAGCTCGGCACTGTTTGGTTGTTATCAACACAGAAATTCAGACTAAGTGCAGAGGAGAAAACCAGTCACAACCTATCAATATCCAAGCCTGCTTTTCCTCTCAGAAAGATGCCAATAGACTTCTTTAAAAGGTCAGCTTGGCATGTGGGATACATTGCCCCTCTTAGATACTTCAGACATAAACACACATTTTTCTATATGAAAAGAGATGCAAACATCATTTAATAACTAATAACTGCATTCCAAATTTATTTTTAAAATTAGGTTTTCTTCTGTAAACAAATGAGACCTCAAACCCATTTGACGTGTGTCAATACCTTGCTGCCTTGTACATGAATTTCCCAAGGTTTTCAGGTTTAGACTTTACCCTGGGGCACAAGTGCAGCTATAGACCTGCCTTGACCTCTGTTTTAATGTAGTCAGAAAATCAGCTACGATGGAAACAGCAATCATTCCTTAACAATAATGTGGTAAATAGGGATGCTATTTTTATGGAAAGAAAAAAAAGTCTCTAGTGTTCAGCCAGCTGTGAACACTGACATCAGGTAGCTTGTTCCTCAGGGGCATTAGCTGTTGGCAATGACTAAACCCTTACACTGTTTTTGTTATTATTAACCATCTTTCCAGTTACTTGCTCACTCCATGCTGGAAAATTTTATTGACTGAGAAGGATCAGCTTTCTTCTTCCAGTCCTTATGGACCTCAGTATGTATGAGCCCGTTGACAACCAACTCAGGGTGAAAAATCACTGCAAAGGTCTGGATTTGGCAGTGTTCGGTAAGTAACATCTAAGCCTACTGAAGATTTTATTTTGCAAAGGTACAGTTGACCTGTGTATCCAGTGTAGTTTAATCTGTGGTAAAAGGTCTGGGTTTAGGTCAGCCCATTTTTTATGAGCAGTTACTTTTTCTGAGAGTTTTCCTGTCCACATCTGCCAAGCATGGA